TCTGTGTGTTGCGGGTTGTGAATGGTCCCTGCTCAACGTCCCACATACAACGCTCCAACCGTTGTTTGTACTGTCCAATGCGAAAATTCGGGTCAAGATGAAATAGCACCGAACCATCACCAGACAGTGGCCAACTGAGAATATGGATTCGGCGGCTGACTGGCAAATATTTTTGCCCAAGTAGAAGGCACCCCGTCGATTCATGTCCTGTACTGAGCCGTCAGGAGGCCGTGCACATGGAAAAGACCCTGACAATGAAAGGTTGCCAATTCTGTGGCCCCAATTGGCAACTAGGACTTGGCGGCTCTAGCACAGCAACGCTGGGTCGATGGGCTGGACCCTAGACCCATAACTTGTCGTCTCGAGCTTGTTCGATGCAGCATGGCAGCAGCCACCGGTACTTGTCCAGCCGAAAGAGTCTGACTCGGAGCGTGATCCTGGGATAACCATATTTGGCGTTACAGGATAACCTGTCCCCTGAACGAGTCAACTCTAATGAGTTGAGGCCTTCAAGAGCGCGTCTTGGTGTAGACACAGTACCAACGTGGTGTCAGGTCCATGTCAGCCGCTGCCGCCAGGCCCGGAGGTTGCAGATCTCCACGAAGCCGCCCTGACCAGCTCGCCCGCCAGACCCAGGCACATCAACAACTGACATGCGTCCATGTCAAACTGTACTCCACACCATGATTTATGTTGAACACAAACACTGGATAGAAATCAAGATGGGACTCAGCCCTCCTGACAAGTCAAGATCCAATCTGCCCCATGGCAGAGCGGCATTCCGTCTGGTGCAGGACAATAGAACTGCAGGAAATCGCATCTCGAGCAAGCCTGCAATCCATGTTGACCAACTGCGGGAGCAGGGAGAATCCGCCTGTGTTGAACACATGTTTCGCCTCATGGGCTAATGCCACAGCGCTCACATGGCAACCTGGCCCGGACGGTTCGAAATGATTGACCAAGTAATCTCCTGGGGGAAACGGCGCTACTGGCCTGCAACGCGACACCTGCCCTGACCTGTGGGCCCAAATCTCCCAGAGCAGGGCTTGTGTGGCCAGTCAGGGAACCGTCGCTGCAGTATCGTTGGTGGCAGTGGTTGAAGACAACAGCGGTGAACAAGTTGTGGACAAGAGAGGGGATGAAGCGCGTTACGTACGCCTCTATCACGGCGCACCCACCCTGGCGCAGTTGTCGAGCAAGTACAATGTACTGTAGATGTGCTTGATCGGTGGTCCGCAGTGTTGCTGCGCGGGAGAAAGGGGTTGTTGCTGCACGTCCGACCCAAGTGTCCCTTCACCATCGAGTTACACGCCGGCAATGGTGGACCTGAGGCATTTCCCTCCGCATGTTCGGGTCCAGGATGCTAAGGAGCTGGTTGCTAGTCGCCTTTGAAGGCTTCGTGATCAAATGAGCGAGAGGGGACGTAGGCTTCACATGCACCGCAACGGGTGTTTAATCGACTGCGATTCTGGGGGGCGTTTTCAAGATGATCCATGAATAGAACCCCTTGATTTGTGCTTGCTGATTGTTTGTTGTTTTGGTTTATTTTTGAATTTTGCTGACTGGGCATTGTACGTGCCAGCCCCCCTATATGCGGCCAAACTTTGAGAGATGTGTTGAGATGGAGCGGATATACTGCTCCATTCACAAGTTGGTGGTCAAGCGCTGTTGCACCTTGGTCGATCGAGGGAAACCGACTCAGCCATCCAATTCCTCTTGGAGTGCGGCCAATTCTGGCAACCCTGGAAGGGTCGTTCCACCGGGCTTGGGCTTCAAGAACCGCTATGCTCAAAGGGCTGATGGGCAATGGGCAGCGTCGAAGAACCCCGGCCCACTCTGGGAGAAATTCTGCACCGGTGACTCGCTGGGCAGTGTCTTGCATCCTAGTCGCCCTCGAGAACGGTGAGGTCTGATCGACGGCGTCGGAATCCCTGCAGCCAGCGGTATTTTCGTACCTGGGTGCCGGGGTCAACTGGATGCCAAATCTCCTCCTCCGCCCCGTCTTGTGGTGAGTGGAAGGGGTTCTGGAAGCACGCCTCGACAAGTGGGTTGGCCACCCCTACCTGGACAGTCTTGGTCGAAAGCCGACCAACCAGAAGCCGGATGAAGACGGGGAGCACTGAAACGGGGACTGGCCGAGGCACCGAGACGACATGATCTCATGAGCGTTATTCTATGAACTTTGTTATTGTTGTCGTCGTTGCTGTAATTTGATAATATCGCGTCTCTGCATTTGATTGGGATGCTGGCACAGGGTTTTGAGAAGGAGCAACAGCAATCTCACTCAGAGGACGGCCTCTGTGCTGCGCCTTGTTAGAGGATCCAGACAGGACATTACTGTAGGGCACGGAAAGGGGTAATGAAAGAACGATTTGCGTGGTGTTGATCAGCAGAGGAGGGCAACGAAACCTGATGATGACGAAGTTGGTTGTTGGTGAAAGTCATGTCCGAACTCTGACGCTGGACGAATGAACAGGAAGGGAGCATGGTGATCGCTTGCCACGCAGAACCTCCTGGTGGGAACCTGAAGGCACCTCTGATGCACTCCTTCCAACCTTTTTTTTTTTCTTGCCCTGACGGTCAAGTCAAGCCACCCGACACCAAAGAAAAGACCAAAGAAAAGAATGACCATGGCTGGCGACGGGCGGGTTAGAAGGTTGCTAGTGACGTTCTCCAACCACCCCCAAAAGCCCTCAGGCTACTGCACCGCGAGGCGCTACAATTGCACCTGGCACCCTTTGACGCAGACCAAGCCCCCGAGAAAAAGGCCATCAGGAGGTTAGGCCCTGTGGCCCTGGTTCAAGTCCCGTGTCATCGAAGGCAGAATGGAAGAGACGAGCAAGAACCAAAACGAGGCAGGCACATGGAAGTCTCCACATGCGGCCACGATGGGACGGCGCTGAGTGGATGGCAAGATGAAAGGTTTCTGAATCCTTTTGCCTACTGGCTGGCTCGTTGAGCGTCGAACATCGAGGTTGCGAGGGGACCCCGTGAGTGGAGGACCTCGCCTCTGTCCGTGAAATGGCCCCCGACGGCTCGGATCAGGTGAGGGATCATGACTGGCCAGCCATGCCAGAAATAGTGTCCACAGCCCACAGCCGCCTCGGAGTTGGCGCCAGGGAGGGAAGCTAAGGCAGAGTGTGAACCAGGCCGAGCGAGGGTCCCGTTGTCCCCATCGGCAAGCGCAGGCAAGAAATGGGTTTACCACTTGGGGACAGCCGAGAAAAAAAGTTGCTGATGGATGTTGTTCGAGCCTGGATCTCTACAGGTACCCTGGCTCACTTGAACACGTCGATGAGATGAAGGCTGACGCTGCTTGCGAGGATGGATGGATCGGATGAATAGGGTTACGCACTGTGATAGCAAGCCGAGCTCATGGATCACTCATGATCCGAATGCCCGCCCGCCCATCCATTCTCCCCATGACCGCGTGAATACCTAGACAAAACCCCGGGACAGCCACTGAGCCGATGCACAGTACATTCACTTGTTCGTGCGTGCCGGTCGACTGAGATGTTTCGTGGGCACCACCGTATCTGAAGCGAGCCTAGGTAGCTAGCCCAAGAAAGCCCAAGCAAGCCCAAGCCCAAGCCGTGGAACCACTGTAACGACTGCGACGCCAACCCAAGAACAAACCCTGGGGCAGAGGCCGACGACTCCGAGATCCCGGCTGGGAGGAAGAGGAAGAGACGGATACCCGTGATGGAGGTTTGCTGCTGCTGCAACTGCTCCAGGACTGTCCTGCTTTGAGGCGAACATACCCGGGTCTCCGTGGCCTTGCCTCCCACTCCGCGCCAGATTCGGGAGTCTGTGTGTGCATCCATCGTGCGCACCTTGGCACCTCACGTCGTCCATCTGGAAGGAATTCGACTGCTGACAATCGGCTGAACTCACATCGTAATCATGGAGACGGGGGGGCTGCGAGTCACCGGTACGTACACACACATGGACATGGACGACACGACAAGGAGGACGCACAACCGCGGTGGGAGTGGTGGTCATGACCTTGCACCTTGCCCTGGACAGGACAAGCCTGTTGCATGGCTCGTTCGCTGATTCGACCCCACTTAATATTTTTCTTGCTGGGTTCTCACGCATCCATCTGAGGTCCCACTCCCTGACTCCCCTTCCATCATCCCCTCTGCACCAGCGCCCACTGTCATTCGTTGTCACCGGCCGTCAGCCCAAGGAGTGACCTCTGCCTGCAGGTACTCCAGGGCGGTAATGGCCGCTGGATGGTACATGGATTCTCCGCCTGTAGGTACTGCGCAGGATGTACCTCTGCCCAGTCCCGTCCTGCAATAATTAGCGTCCCGTCCATCGAGTCTTGCCCCCTTCCAGGCCTCTTCTTCCAGGTTCCCACGGGCGGGCAGCCAACCCCATCCATGGCCGTCTATGATCCATTGGCTCAGTCTTGCCATGGGCCATGGGCTGCTCTCACTCGCGGGCGACTCGCTCACCCCATATTTTATTTTTCGTCGCTCCACGCCCACGCCCTCCACCGTTACAGTACAGACAGCGGGTAGGTACTGCGTACTCGCTCTTCTTTAGCCATGTCTGCCATGTACCCGTAGCCGTGCGTGAGTGAGGTGCGCCGCGCCGCCCACCTTGCCATCCATCCATTGGATCCAATCCACCTCACCATCCACGGACCCATCCCATGCCTGTCCGCCTGCCTGCCTGGTCGGTCCCGTCGGTCCCCCATCATCATGCTGGCTGGGGCCATCCATCGCATCGAGTGAGAAGAGACTTGGCTGGGACTTGACGGGCACTGCTACAGACCTGTACGTAGTAGTAGCGCACGCCCACTACAACAGTGGTGGACACCTGAGCCCGCCACGCCCTCCTCCACACTAACTGCATCATCCCCATCTCCCCATCTTGCCATCTCCTGTCCCTGCTCGAGCATTCTCTTCCATCCTTCATCCTCTCACCACTCCCTCTCTCATTCTCTCTTTTCCCCTTCTTCATCCTCATCCTTCCTCCTCTCTTCCTCTCCTCCACGACAAAACCCGAATCCGCCAAAACCCTCGACAAATACTAGTCACAGACCTCGCCGGTTTGTCGACGTCAGGATTCAGGTCTTTTTTCGCGCGAGTCTCTCCTTGCCCCGTCGACCGCCTACCCAGCCCGCCGCTGTCGTAGGTTGCTGTATATCAACGAACGGTTCCTGTCCACTTTTGGCTTGATCTCAAGTCAAGTGCAGACCTCACCAACACCTTTCGGAGATCGCAGTTTCGGGTTCTCTCTCCCTCTCTATTTCCTTGTTCACCCTCATACCGCCTTTCTCTCCTCGGTGAGTGCTTCTCCTGCCTCCCGCCCGTTGTTGCCGTTCCATCCACTGGCCTGGCCACACCTCGATCCGATCGCATGCCGCCGAATTCTCCCCTCTACCTTTACAACGGACGACGCGACATCAGCCATCCGATAGCTTGTTTACACGACCTGGATTTCGATACTCATATCGATATCGCTTCGACAACGCCATCCGACTACCACCTGTCGTCGTCAACACATGGGGCATGCTAGATCGATCTCGTAGTGGCCTTGGTCGTGGATGTGATGACAATGGACGGTGCAATTTCCGCACCATGTTGCTAACCAATCTCCCAGAGTACTAGTTTTCAGAACTCACCGGATTTCCTATCATCCTCCCCGCGACACTGTTTTTCTTCCCGTTTACGACAAAAGCAAGTTTCCTTAGGTCGCTGTTGGTCGACCATCCTTCTACGTTAAAACCGATCCATCCCGAATTACTCTCGATCTAGACGTTTTGCCCTTATCCCCAGTCGACACGACATCGGAAATTGAGGTGCACCGTTAAATGGCCTGTCAAGCCTACTAGATACACGTCGATCCTCGCTCTACCGCCATCAAACACACGCTCACGCACGGGACGTTTTAGCTGTGGTGATCATCCGCAGCTTTCCTTCACGCGTCCCATCACCGCTCTCTCCTCCGACAAAGGTCGCGTTCCGATCTTCGTCGGACCCCCTCCCAACCTTCATCATGCCCGGTGGCGTGTGTGCCGTCCTCGATTACGAGGTCGACATGATGGCCGAGTACGTTGCTGAGATGGCGCTGCGAGTTGTCACTCCCGAGGCCTCTCTGACCTCGCCCTTCCGCAAGTTCGTGTCTCAGATCCTCACTTCGACGAGGCTCCCGAGCACCACGATCCTTCTCGGAATGAACTACCTCGCCAAGAGGATCAACACCTTGAAGGGCCAGGGTCCCTACAAGGCCTCTGAGGGTCAGGTCTGGCGATACCTGACTGTGTCGCTTCTGCTGGGCAGCAAGTTCCTCGACGACAACACCTTCCAGAACCGGTCTTGGTCCGAGGTTAGCGGTATTGCCGTGTCTGAGCTCAACTCGCTTGAGTTTGAGTGGGTCGAGTCTATGGGCTGGCGCCTGTATGTCAACCTTGACCTCAGCAAGGACTACCAGGCATGGCTCGAGAACTGGCGTGACTGGCAGGACATGAAGAAGCGACAGGCTGCCCAGGCCAGCCGCGAGAGACTCGCTTCTCTTGTCCCCGCGATCGACACCGAGCTCGCCAGGTACTCTGGCCAGCGCCAGTCTCCTCACTCACGCTACCTTCAGGAACAGGTGGCCGAGTACGAGCGTTACCAGGCTATGAAGGTCCAGCAGCAAAATTACCGCCCTCGTGGCGAGGCTCCTTGGACACACAACCCATGGAGTGCTCCCCTCACGCCTCCCGACTCGGGCTATGGCACACCCGACTATGCCATGTCCGCCTCGTCCAGCAATGCTCGCTACAACGAGTGGTTCTCTCAGGCTGCTGCTCAGTACACCAGCCGATACCCTCAGCCTCCCGCTCACAACTCGTTTTACCCCAACTCCCGCCACAATTCATATGGCGGTCACTACCCATACAACCAGAACATGTGGGAGCATGGCCTTGCTGAATGCAGCTGTGCTGGCTGCGTCGACCCGATGAAGCAGCAGGTCCCCTACTTTGTTCCTCACGGCTACAGCCAGCCGGTCATGGGTTAACGTCACAAAAGTTATATGTCCTCGTTGACGGAGGATTAATGGCTCTCTGACCGAGGGCGTTCGGTCTTGGAAAGAAGAAAAAAGTTAGGGATTTCATTTTTTTTTTTACGGCCACGATTTTCTTTTACACGCATCCCGAGAACGATACATTCGCATCTTCAGATACCCAGGCACGACAAAAAATTGTTCATCACATGACCTTTCGGCGGATCATTCTCAGGATTTTTATCACATCGTCGCGATTGGCAAACACGAAACGAATCGCTGAGCTTGGCCACATCCCGCGATGTGCCATGTCCCAGTCTCTTTCGTGGACCAAGACAAAATAACGCGACATTCTCCTTTTGTCTCACTGGTATACGCTCTGTAATGGTCATCTTCGGCGTTCTGGTTTTTTCATCATTCACATTATACGGTCCGGTTCCGATAGACTTTGCGGGTTTTACGGTTTCCAAACGGCTTTGGCGCTCTCTTTTTTGAGATGGCATATGCGCTTAGGGGATCACCTTGGACTTACTGCTCTACGACAGCAGTTTCGCCCTGGATCGAGAGCCAAAAAAAATACCCATGATGGGGCTGGCTCAAGATACGAACCAGTGGCCCGAGGCACAGTATTCTCCACTATAGATGGCGGAAACAGCGATTGATTAATCGCATCCACTCGCTTGGACTCATTTGTGCGGCATTCGATTCGCACTTCGATTTCACTTTCTTCTTCTCTGTCCCACGAGGCTCGCATCGGTCGCACCGACCACGGCTCCGCAGCTTTTCATGCCGCGGCCACCGAGCGGTCTCATCAGTCAAGCTTCGATCGATCTTGCGGGCGGTATATATTTTCAACTTGTCTTTGTTTGTTCTTGTACGTGGCAGATGGCTCTTGACCACGGAAATGGGTTTATATGACGGGGTTTTATGCATTGCGTTCAGCGGGTAAAATACGGATCTGGGACGGTTTACGGGGTTTGACATTTGCTTCTTCCGTGTTTTTTCTCTCTCTCTGCCTCTAACCATCTTGGCGCTTGGCTAGGCTCGAGTATCAGTTCGATACCAGTTACCTAGACAAAGGTCGTGGAGTCTAGGAGGCTTTTTTTGTTTTCTTTTTTCCATCTTGACGACTCCGGCGCTGTCTTTTCTCCTGGTTTTGTCTTCAGTAGAGAGGGACATGGGGATTTTTTTTTGCTTCTTCCCGTCGGTTTAATGGGGATTCGTTTCGATGGCGGTCCTGCGAGACCGAGGGCATCAGGGTTTTCTTCTCTTGACGACTTGGGACGATTCTTACGGAACATTGAGGGCGATATCGAAGGCACAGGACGACAAAGCATGCGAGCTCAAGCTGCTTCGAACCTTGATGCTGTGATACAACGAGGCGGGTTTAAGTTGCCCGCAGTATCTTTTGACAGCTGCGCAGAATAAAAAGGTGGTTTGGAAGCACGCTTCATTTGTCCATGACCTCAGTGGCCCGGGAACCATTTATCGATTGGCGCTTACGAGATTCGAGGATGTATTCATGGAATAACATGGAATGGACGGTGTATATTGATTGTGATACTTCAAGTTGGCTTGGAGTTTTGTTTGTTAAAGCAAGCAAGCAAGCACCTAAGGTAGGTAGGTAGGTACTCTGGAACATCAAGACGCGGGATTCATTCGTTGTCTTGCTCAGTTCACCGGCAGGGCATATCCCTCGCCTTGGGTCTTCCTCGATCAGCAAATACAAAAAAGAAATAAAGAGACTTGTCTCGGCCTTTTGTCCTTGAAGTGATTGGTGTGTGATGCATGATGTTTGACATGAGTGAGATTTCTGGTGTGAATACCCACGTCGGTAGATTATCGGATGATTCCGTCATCTCATGTCGCCTCGTACTCTCGACTTGAGGAACAGCTCCTCGATACTTACGAATCTGCTGTGCTCACCTCATCTTCTCAGCATTGAGACAGAAGAAGTTGTGGACTTATTTAATTTTATCATTGGTGACTCTGATTGAAGCCATTGGCCCTTCATCTGTCAATTGGATCTATTGTTTCTCGCCACCTTGTGCTGGTCGCGCTCATCACGACTCTTTCATACTCTACCCCATCCCCGTTTTCTACTACGTACACGTCGCCTCAAGACTGGAAAGGCACGAGCAATTCCAATCATGTCTAACCGGTTTGTATCGGCGGGTACAATTGGCTCATCAGGGGAGCTGTCCAAAGACACCGGCACCTCAGCAGCACCAACTGAGCAGCCCCTATACGACTCTGCGAAGAACAAGGAGTGGGAGGCGGTTCAGAAGGAGCTCGATGCTGAGCGGCGTCGGCGCGAGGAGCAGCGCGTCAAGGCCGCCACCGGAGAGGGCGAGCAGAGCCTGTATGACGTTTTGCAGGCAAATAAAGGCAAGCCAACACCTCCCTGATATTGCCCGTAGAGTAAAGAGCTGACCGTGAACTGCAACAGCGGCAAAGCAAGCTGCGTTTGAAGAACAGACCAAACTGCGCAACCAGTTCCGCGCACTGGATGATGATGAAATAGAGTTCCTGGACGAGATACGCGCCAACAAACGCGCAGAGGAGGAACGCGTGCGGCGCGAGACGGAGGAAGGTCTCAAGGCGTTTAGGGAGCGGCAGAGGGGTGATGCTGGTGAGAAGCCGCAAGATGAGCCTGCTGCAGAAGGGGAAGGTGAATCATGGGGGGCTGGACGGAAAAGAAAGCGCGTCAAGGAGAGGGATGTCAAGGGTCTGAGGAGAAAAGTCAGCACCGCAGAAGAGGACGACAAAGATGAGGAGCCGGCAACGCAAAAAGAGACTGAAGTAAAGAAGCAGCCGGAAGAAGCAAAGGTAGAGAGCAAAGCCGAGACAAGTACGAAACCGCCCGAGAAGAAGGGCCTCGGGTTGGTGGGTTACGGGAGTGATTCAGACTCGGACGATTGAGAAACCAAAGGTATAAAGAGATTCGTAACTCTTGAAGGGGAGTAATTGCCTCGGGATTATAAAGTACAGTGAGCCGTACCGCAAAATACCATCCCTCGCTCTATCGTAGATGATGCAACATAGATATGGAACCAAGCCCTTCGCCCTTGATATGACATCCATGGTTAAATATACAAGAATAGCTTTTTCCTCGTCGCGCCTCCACCAGGTTATTGTACATGAAACCACATAGCAGCGTCCTTTTCTTCATCACGTTCCTTTTTTGCGTCTTTAGCACATGGTAGGATATTCTCCTGTTTACTCGTCGTTGTTCACATCACCGACATTGGGCGTCATGGGCTTGGCGTTCCAGGAATCGACTCCCCAGCGCCAAAGACTGCGGAAGCTGCCCTTGATCCATCCCTCGATTTCCGCCTCAGGGACGACAATCTGAGCAGCGCGGGCCTCGTCCTCGGGGCTGATCTCGAACCGACGCATACGCTGCATCAGACGAGAGTCCACAGCAAGGGGTGAAGCCCAAATTCTCTCCTTGACAGGCACGGCAGCAGTAGCAGCGTTGTCATCCTCCTTGGGAGCTTCAGTCTCCCACACCGACTTGACCCAGTCCTTCTCCTCATGCTGTAGGACGAGCTGCTGCTCATACTGGCCGTCAGCCTCGCGCCATTCACGGGAAGAGGCGGCGAAGCACACGGCGGCCATCTCGCGGCCGATCTCGTCGGCGAGCTTGCGGCGGTTGAAGAAGCGGTTGAGGCGGACAAAGGTATGGCGGAAGCCGAGACGGTGAGGGAAGGGGATCGGGTTGGAAGGGGAGAACTCAAAGGGGATCTGGGTGGGGAGGCTGGCCAGAGAGTAGTCGTCGGGGGAGTTGTAAGGGGGTGGTTGAGGTGGTCGTTCAGGCTTCTTTTCATCTTCTTTCTTCTCCTCCTCCTTCTTCTCCTCTGGCTTCTCTCCCTCTCCCTCCGGTTTTACGCCCTCAGGAGAACCCTCACCAGCGGCCGGTGTCGTTTCGAGCTCAGGTTTAGCAGGAGCATCAAGAGGCCCAAGCCAACCCTCGTGCAGACCTCTCACGTACTCCTTCCATGTATGCCGTCCAAAGATGATATCACCCTTTGTACCCTCATACTCTGGCACGCTGTTCTTTTTCCTCAATGCCTCGATGGTAGCTTCTTCTGTTTGTAGGTCTTCTTCATCTGGTCGCTCATCCTTTCTCCGCGCCCGGCGAATCTTCTCTGCCACGGCAGCTCTCACGTCACCCTGTTGTCTTCCCTGAACAAACTCCCAGTCCAGACCAGAAGCCGCGAGGACGGGCTTTGCATACTCAATAAAGTGGTCCTGGGCAACACGCAGACCGTCGCCGGGGGGCGCTTCGAGGTAGATGGTCAACTTGCGGGGAAGCTGGCTCGCTGAGTTGATAGTGTCCTTGGCGAGAGGAGCGACGACGTGCTTCCACTTTGCTGTGGCTCGCTTCTTCTCACGCTTGTCGTAGATGATGGCAGCGGAGATGGTACCTGTGATAGCCCAGAAGATGAGCCAGTTGCGGGAGGGCAGCTTCCGGGGGAGGTTCGGCAGGCCCATCATGCGAAGAGCCGGGTTCTGGGTCGGCTTGGGAGTCGGCGCCTTGTAGGTGGCTCCGGTGCCGGCGCCGGCGGCGGGCTGCGCGGGGGGGTTCTGCTCGGCCATTGCGAGTCCGGTGCCGCGGGGATTGTCTGACGAGGCTCGCGGAGGGACGAAACGCTTCGTCAATGGCGTCTGAGGGGTCGTTTATACGACGGGCGGGCGATCTTGATATCGGCCTGGCGGTGGTAGTTCGGACCGCTTAGAGGGAAAAAAATGATGGCGATAAGCGGCGGTGCGATAAGGACTGGCCGGGATGGAAATACTCAGGCTCCGGGCACTTGCTTTGGAGTGTGATTCAGATTGACGTTGCGAGGCCAAAACGGAAGGGAAGCTGAAATCCTGGAGTTGATCTCTGAAGATGGTTTCATTTCTCAGGTTTCTTATGTTGCTAATTGACTTTGCAACGGGTGCTGCATGGCGTTGGCATTGAAATCGACAACTTTGTCAGATACTTTCTTCCCTGGATAGGTACTCAGGCTTCCACAATGCTTCTGGAAGGTGTCGGGACCCCTGGTAGGACACCTCGTGTCTATGGTTAATAAGGTTGTGAGTGTCTAGTATTGTCTTACTGGAAAAGTGACCGAGATCTGATGTCTGCGATACATGGCCATGTAGGACCTGTAACCAGAGAAGGCCATGCTCATGACAACAGCCCAGACTCGTCCGTCAGTCTCACAACAGTTGACAATAACGGCGATACTCTCCTCGTCCATGGATGGATCCCTGGGGAATTGCCATGTGGGAAGCACAGGCGGCGGATGCAACCACACGGGCCGGAACCGAAGCGAGCGTGGCGCCTTGTCATATGGGAGCGTATTAATAAAAGCACGACCCAGCTTGAGACATCAGGTAGAGAGGCTCATCTCAACTGGATGGTTTGTAATTATTCGCAGCTTAAGACGGTCTGACCTGGGCAGAGTGCTGAGGCATTGTGGTGAGCCGTGAACCCCGTTGGTCACCGCATCCAGAGACGCAAACAACCTACAGCGAGAGGAGCTAGGCGCAGTCCTCATGCAATCCATCTCTGTCTGCCCAACTGGAGCTGAGGCTGGGCTGGCTGCAGGTGCAGGTGCCAGGTTCACCTGAGGCTCAGGAGTCGTGGTGGAGGGCCAAGACGGTGTCTGGGGAAACACAGCGGCAGGGGTGCAGCCCCTGAGGGATCTCCCAGGCAAGGAACCTACCTCTGGAGGACACGCCCCGAAATCGAGTCCGTTTTTTGCCCGATGGGTAGAGAGCCCGAAGGAGGAGACTGGCTGGTGCCGTGCCAGAGGGTGGCCAATCCGCGGTTGATTGACCACCAACACCGCCGTTCTCAAATAATATTCGCTTGGAGAGATGGAGATGGGTGAAGGGAGCATGTTTTGGAGCATGTGTGTGTGTTGGTTGAGTAGGAGGCGGCAAATGAGAGGAGGGAGATGGCCTGGCTATGAATGAACCATTTGCCTCTCTCTGGCTGTCGTGTCCAAGCAAAGTCTCACCGAGGCTGATAATTATAGTTGACCGTCAGCGAACGAGCACCCATCATCCTTCCAAGTTCCATCCCGTCTCTACCTGCAGGATACTTGCATGCTGTAGCACCTATATTGGGTACAGCCGATCGTCGCATCTGATCCATCCATTCCTAAGTTCCATCGATGGGTAGATCCCACAAACGTCCATTTTCCGGCCCAGCACTGCCTCTGTGTTACCCAGGCGGATTTCTGGTGTGCGTATCACGGCGGGAACTGGACCCAAGCCCCTGATTAGTAGCCGGTTGACGGGAGACTCTTCATCACCGCCCAACAGCCGTCAGGGGCAGCGGTCGAGCAGTGGCATTGAAGGATGGATGGTTGCAGTTGGCGGCTCGGGGAGAAGTTATAGCGGCCACAGCGGTCACCACCACCGCTTCTTAGAGCATCACCTAACTACAAGCAGCCCGCCCACTGCTGCTACGTACCTCCCTAACCTGCCCCGGTCCAGGCCGCCCGCCGCCCGTGGACCCTCGACCCCTCGGAACCTTCCCCCCCCAAAACACTCCCGTCGTGTGCCAAAACCAAAACGTTCACGGACGATCCCTGCGCGTTTCGACCTGGAGGAGGCGCCGACTTGCATCTGTCATCAGCCTGGTAGCACTCCATACCTAACTAATAGTACACGACGGGGCTCTCTCTCCTTCTTGCGCATCCATCTCTTCTCCTCTTCATCACCGAGTCCGCTGCCTCGTGCGTGCTGTTCATCGCTGGTTGCGCTCTGGACTCGAGTAGGTCTTTTGTGCCCAAAGAGACTCCAGCCCGCCGCTCTGCTAGCTCAGTCCCGCGCCCCTCGCTCCCGTCCCCTCCACAAGTGGAAGCAAGCCCCTGGACTTTGTCCTCCCCTGAAACTCTGGTTGTTGGCCACCATCTCCCACGTCGCCCTCATCCTTTTCTTCTCTCGCTGTCTTCTGTCCGTCACCGACTGCTCGACACCGCATAGCACGATACGAGGCGACCGCGACGCCGCAATCAGACAGGATGGATTCCAACAACAACCGCTTGTTCCTCAACTTTGGGAACAGCAATGACAGGTTGACCGCCTCGGATCGGGCCGCCTATCCCACCACGCCCTCGACCTTTCCTCAGCCTGTCTTCCCTCCCGCTTCTGGTCAGCAGCCTGGCCTTCAGGCTCAGCAGCAGGCTTACGCTGGTGGTTATGCGCCCCAGGGTTACTTTAACCAGAACCAATACGCCCAGTATCAAGGCCAGCCGCTGAACGACTATGCCCAACCCGCTGGCTATCAGCCGCGATCCAATACCCCGGGCACCAACGATCCCAACACCGGTCTCGCCCATCAGTTCTCCCACCAGAACCTCGGAGGCGCTGCTCGAGCGCAGGCTTACGCTCGAGGGCCCTCGCCCGGCCAGCGTCCCCGAACCGCTGGCGCTTCAGGGCAGCCAGCCTATTCCGGGTACATGAACGCTCCTCCCATGCCCAACCAACCTGCTGCTCCTGTCGAGGAGTTTCAGCGAGCGCCCGAGAGAAATCCCGACCGATATGGCACCAATGCCAATAGCAACCAGAAGAAGTGCTCCCAGCTTGCTGCCGACTTCTTCAAGGACAGTGTCAAGCGTGCGCGCGAGCGTAACCAAAGGTATGGTCTACATTCTGTTATCTTTCAAGTACTGCGTAGCTAAAAGTGCTGTTATAGACAGAGCGAGTTGGAGCAGAAACTCCAGGATCCCTCCCAGGGTTCTGGCAGACGCGAGCAGCTTTGGTCTACCGCTGGAAGAAAAGAAGGCCAGTACCTGCGTTTCCTGCGCACCAAGGATAAGCCCGAGAACTACAACACAGTCAAGATTATCGGAAAGGGTGCCTTTGGAGAAGTCAAGCTGGTTCAGAAGAAGGGAGATGGCAAGGTCTATGCCATGAAGTCCCTGATCAAGACGGAAATGTTCAAGAAGGATCAGCTCGCTCACGTTCGATCAGAGCGTGACATTCTCGCCGAGTCTGACAGCCCCTGGGTCGTCAAGCTGTACACCACTTTCCAGGATTCTTACTTCCTCTACATGTTGATGGAGTTCTTGCCCGGTGGAGATTTGATGACGATGCTCATCAAGTACGAAATCTTCTCTGAAGACATTACACGGTTTTACATTGCCGAGATTGTCCTCGCTATTGAGGCTGTACACAAGTTGGGCTTTATCCATCGGTATGCGCCACCCCTCTCCCTCGGTATCCCTCGGTATCCCCCTGAAACTTGACTGACTCTGAAACAGTGACATCAAGCCCGACAACATTCTTCTGGACCGTGGTGGTCATGTCAAGCTGACTGATTTTGGCTTGTCGACGGGTTTCCACAGACTCCATGACAACAACTACTATCAGCAGCTGCTTCAGGGGCGATCCAACCGGCCGCGTGACCGTAACTCGGTCGCCATCGACCAGATCAACCTCACTGTCAGCAACCGATCTCAGATTAACGACTGGCGACGATCACGAAGATTGATGGCGTACTCGACCGTTGGAACTCCTGACTACATCGCCCCTGAAATCTTTACTGGACATGGTTACACCTTTGACTGCGATTGGTGGTCGCTGGGAACCATCATGTTCGAATGTCTCGTTGGATGGCCCCCATTCTGTGCTGAAGATAGCCACGACACGTACCGAAAGATTGTCAACTGGAGACAGACCCTGTACTTCCCCGATGATATCACACTGGGCACCGATGCTGAGCATCTGATCCGAAGGTAAGATATTCAATGTTTCGAGATGATGGACGAGATTGCTAACGTAAACCAGTATGGTCTGCAACACGGAGAACCGTCTTGGTCGTGGAGGTGCACACGAGATCAAGAACCATGCCTTCTTCCGTGGCGTCGAGTTTGACAGCCTGCGTCGCATCCGCGCACCTTTCGAGCCTCGCTTGACCTCCAACATTGACACGACCTACTTCCCCACTGATGAAATCGACCAGACCGATAACGCGACGGTTCTCAAGGCCCAGGCCATCCAGAACGGCCGACAGGCGGAGGAATCTCCCGAGATGTCCCTGCCCTTCATCGGCTACACCTTCAAGCGGTTTGATAACAACTTCCGGTAATTCTCGCCAAGAAATCTTTGACTCCGGCAAGTGTTCATCTTGGAGAAGGCCCAGTTCTGTGAACGGGCTTTGCTTCACTCGAGCTGGGAAGGGGCAGCACTCTGGAAGCGCAGAGACGACGCCTTACAACACTCAGCAATGGTTTGACGGCCGATCAGGTTCTTGGATGCTCTCGGGACCACGTGCCCTTGAGCTTTGTGCTTTTTCAAGATGCCTCCTTGAAGGCTGTAATTGCAGGGCTAGTCTAGATAGCAGGCTTCTGGCTCGGGCAAGCTTTTTATCATGTATGGATTTCATTGTACTGAGCATGTAACAAAAGAGGGTAGTTCAGACCTTGCTGAAGAAGTCAAAGACTAATAAAACAAGTTGAAACTTGAAGGGGCATTTGCATCGTGTCTTGTGATTGCTAACACCTGATTAATGATGGATACATGACAACATGTAGTCATGCCGTGAGCCTTGATATTGTACTATTTGCATTCTACTACAACTGGAAAGGCCTTGGTCAGCGAAACTCTTGGTTGAAGCAAGATTGTCCCTTACTCTTGTACATGGAGAGCCCGAGCTTGAGCTTCAGCTCGTATCAACCGTAACAGCAACTGTGGACGATGGAGCTCGTGTAGCGCCTTGACATGGCGGACAGCCAATCTCTGCGCCGTCATGCGCCAAATAACTATCCTTCAACGCCATATCCTAAACCGTATAACCTTTTAATGACTCCCGCCCAAAAGAAACTGCGATCACATCCGTATTCATCTCCGCGCTGTCAGACCAGGTGCTGCGTTGAAGCGCTCCTCACGCTCCGTCATAAACATGACCTGGATCCAATACTCCTTGGCGTCAGGATCCCAGAAGCAGAATTGTCGGTCCTCGCGCTTGTCCAGCTCGCGGGCCGGGATCTTGAAGCCGACCGTCTCGTAGGGCTCAGCGGCGACGAGCAGGTACTGGAAGTTCTTGTCGGGCTCCTCGATGTGCTGTGTGAAGGCGTTCATGACCTGCCACTTGGGTGTGGTCTCGGGGGTGGCGTCTGGGTATTGTAGCTGGAAGAGCAGGCCCTGCTGGCGCGTGACAGGGTCTCGGATCTTGGTGATCTTGTATCCAGGGCGGCCGATCTTGACAACGTTGCGGCGCTGTGCGAAGCCAGCTCCTGTAACGCCGACGGGAAGCCCTGTGGCAGGGTCGACGGCGCCCTGGCGGCCCTCCTTTTGCTCGCGGGCGGCACGGCGGGCGAGGTTGGTCTGATGCTTCTTGCCCTGGGTATGCGCGAGGTAGGAACCGTCATTCTGGTGAACCGTGAGACAGAGACGGCACTCAAAGGAGCCGACGTGGTTCTTGAAGAAGTAAGGGTCCTTGTCAAGGTCGATGGTCTCGAGGGCGAGCTTGCGAAGACGCTCGCGACGGTCCGCGTTGGTGGCCGACTGAGACGCGACGCCGCCGCCGCCAAACTTGGAGCCTGCGCGGTTCTGAAAGTCCATTGCGTAGAGTCGCGGTTGTGTATTGGTATGTGTGAGGTTGCGACTTGTTACGATCGAGGGTTTGGCGATTTGGTTGCTTTCGCGAGGCTGAGGATGGGAGAGGAAGAATGTTTGCGAAAAGACAAGGTTAGAGAAGCATTGAACTTGGAGCCTCACCGAGGTGAGAAATAATTATGGGGATGCTGTCAAGGTGGCTGACCAATCAAGCTCTGCTCTTCATTGACACAGCTGTTGCAACTCAAAACGGACATGAAGTTTACACATTTTAGTATATACAAGAATGGAATTATTACAACTCTAGGATTTCTTGAATCTACAATATATAAGTTTTAAGGAGTGCAGTTCACAATATCCGCGTGCCTGGAAAGCCACACCTGGACACATTCCACGAACCGATCAAACTCGGATGTTGGAGTCTCGAGCACAAGGGCAATGAAGCCTCTCCGCACTAGCCAAAATCCTTCCTCCATCATCTCCAGCCAGAAGAGGTCCCTTAGAGCGTCAATCTCCTCGACTTCTCCAGATCTCTCAAAGACACGGGTGCCGTTCTTGGGGAAGTGCACACCCATGATAGTGCCCAGCCCGGTAAAGACCACTCTGGTGCCCTTGGTCACCTCATTGAGCTTGTTTCTCAGCTCATCGCCCTTGTTTGTGAACTGAACAGCAACTTCAGGCGTGTAAATCTTGCTCAGACCTGCATAGCCTGCGTGTGTCACCAGGGTGTTGTTGTTGAAGGTACCAGAGTGTGCGAGCGCACCAGGACGTCGGGGATCAAAGGCTGCCATGATATCTGCTCTGCCACCGAAAGCACCGAAAGCAAGTCCTCCGCCGAGCCACTTGCCAAATGTCTTGAGGTCGGGGCTCAGACCTAGCAGTGCGGCGATGCCTCCTCCAGACATGCGAGAAGTCATGACTTCGTCTATGATGAACAGCACGCCCGCCTACATCTTGTTAACTAAGTGGTCTTGATGCAAAGAAAGTAAAAGAACTTGCCTTTGCTGCAGCTTCTTGAATTCCCTTGAGGAACTCGGGATTCCCTGGAAGACCACCTCCAGAACCCTGCATTCCCTCCACCAGAACCGCAGCAACACCCTCACTCGCGATGGCGTTGCGGGCACTCTCAAGGTCATTGTACCTTGCCACGATCCAGTCGTCCATGTCAACATTGTTGTCTTCAGGCTTCCCTCCCTTGAAACCTATCACAGCTCCATGATAGCCGCCGCTGAAGGTGACGATCTTGCGCTTCTTGGTGAATGCACGGGCTGCTGCCAGAGCATGTAGATTGGCCTCGGTGCCAGAATTGGCGAAGCGCACCTGCTCTATGCTGAAGCGCTGACATATCTCACGAGCAAAGATCTGCTCCTGAGCTGTGTTTCCACCGACGTTCAAACCCGTGTTATCCAGGACGTCCCTTATGGCTGAGAGGATGATGGGGTTGGAATGCCCATAGAGAGCTGCAGTAAACTCGCACGTCAAGTCTGTGTATCTAAGAGTTTGTTAGCGATGCGGTACATGCACGGCCTGCTTAAGACTTGCGTGTGTCCATCCTCAGACGTGACCTGGTATCCCTTGCCCGACTTGATGACTATCGGAAATGGACTGGCGTAGAGGACTGTGCGAGTGTTTCCTCCCGGCATTGACTTGATGGCTTCTTCATAGAGGGCCTTGGAGCGTGGGTTACGAGCAACATATCGAGTTGTGGCCTCATCAAGCTTGGCCTGGATAAGCTGTGTCAATTCTGTAGCCATGATGAATAAGGATCAATTGAAGGCGGTAGTTGTAAGATGAAGCAATAGTTTCGTTATAACTGAAGATGTGAGCTTCTGTTATATACTTGTTCGACTGGTAGAAGAGTGATCTGGATCCGATGTCGCTTATGACGCCCCAAGGATGCTATTCGTAAGTGAGATAACAACTAGCTGGACCCCGCAGAGTTCAGGCCATTTGCGATAATTCAGAACTCTTCATTGGCCGCCATCGAGCATGATGAGATGCCTATCGCCTTTCGGGCCGGGGTTTGCCAAAGTCGGAGCCATGATACCCGAGTCTGGATTAACCGGGTCTCGGGTTTCGCGTTTGGCACTTGTTAGCCGCATCTCTGCAAGTCTCGATAGATTTTAGGAGAGTATAATGGCGGAAACATTGAATTCAACTTCGGCAAACACAGATAGTCGGTTTTTTCTACGATTGCCTTGTATCGTTCCGAAGACCATCTTCTCAGGTGGTTCTGGTAGTGTTGAAGCTGGATGAACTGCTGGCCGAGTTTGGGTGCAACCATGGTCGTTTAGAAACAAATGTGGTCAATTTGATCTCAGATATTTGTATGGAAGCTTTTACTATAGGTATTAAGCGTAACTATAGTCAGATATTCCAAGATCCTTTAATCAGCCTCAACCTCATGGTGTTCAGATCGATCTGGGCTGCTGGGATGATGGGATCTAGTGGAGTGGAGGTACGTACCGTTCAACCGCCAACCTATGTGGGGAAGCGGAAAAGCGGTGTGTGAAAAAAGCCGGCAGAATCGACATCCCACGTAATTTTTTTGCCCAATTTTTGAAGGTGCTCGTCTTGCCTGGAGAAGAGAAAGAAGCCAAGCCGAAGATATTCGATAATTCACAATGGCCGGCTCAATCAACAAGCCCAAGAGTCAGTATAACCTCTCGTGGAATCATACTCATGACCGGTAACCCTAACAACTCCCAGAGCCCAAGTCCAAGCGGACGCCCGTCCGTCTTCGCCACAAGATCCAAAAGGCATCCGTCGCAAAGCAAAAGAAGGAGCGCAAGCTCGCAAAGAAGAACCCGGAATGGCGAACGAAGCTCAAGAAGGACCCCGGCATCCCTAACCTGTTCCCCTACAAGGAGAAGCTGCTCGCCGAGATTGAGGAGAAGCGCCTGAAGAAGGCCGAGGAGGCGCAGAAGCGAAAAGAGCTGGCCAAGGCTGCAAAGACGGGCGTCAAGGATGAGGAGGTGATGGAGGATGTCGATGTCGAAGACGATGGCGACGATGATGTTGATGAGATGGAGGACGACGGTATGGATGAGGACATTGACGAGTCGAACCCCATGGCTGCGCTTATTGCCAGCGCTCGCGCTGCTGCCGCTACCTATGATCGACAACTGGCCGACGACGACATGGACGAGGATGACGATAGCGAAGAGTCCGACAACGAGCGTGGCCCTGAAATGTCAATTGGTCAGGCTTCTTCGAGAAAGACCTACGACAAGGTCTTCAAGTCGGTGGTTGAGCAGGCCGACGTCGTCCTCTATGTTCTCGACGCCCGTGACCCAGAGGGCACACGCTCTCGCGAGGTTGAGCGCAGCATCATGGCCGCTGCATCTGGCGGCAAGCGCCTCATCCTCGTCATCAACAAGGTCGACTTGATTCCTCCCAAGGTCCTCCGAGACTGGCTCGTCTACCTTCGCCGCTACTTCCCAACCCTGCCTCTCCGGGCCTCCAACGCCGCTCCCAACGCCCACACCTTCAACCACCGCGACCTGACCGTCCAGAGCACATCCGCCACACTTTTCAAGGCCCTCAAGAGCTTTGCTGCTAGTCGTCAGCTCAAGCGTGCCGTGTCTGTTGGTGTTATTGGTTATCCCAATGTGGGCAAGAGCTCTGTTATCAACGCTCTCCTCTCGAGGATGAGTGGAAAGGGTAGCTCCTCTTCAAAGGCGTGCCCTGCTGGTGCCGAGGCTGGTGTTACGACGAGCATCCGATCTGTCAAGATCGACAGCAAGCTTACTCTGCTTGACTCCCCTGGTGTCGTCTTCCCCTCTTCCTCCTCGACCCAGTCTGCCGGCCTCGTCTCACTCAAGAATGCCACCGAGGCGCACGCCCACCTGGTCCTGCTTAATGCTGTCCCGCCTAAGCAGATCGATGACCCTGTCCCTGCCGTCACACTCCTCCTGCGACGTCTGTCGTCGACTCCCGAGCTCATGCAGAAGCTCACTGATGTTTACGACATCCCTGCCCTCCTCCCTGACCGCAAGGACGGCGACACCACAACCGACTTCCTCGTCCAAGTCGCCCGCAGGCGAGGCCGTCTCGGCCGCGGTGGAGTCCCCAACATCAACGCCGCCGCCATGACCGTCGTTACTGACTGGCGTGACGGTCGTATCCAGGGCTGGGTTGAGCCTCCTGCTTTGGCTGTCGAGTCCAGCACCGCGCCCTCCAAGCCGGCCCTGAAGAACGCCGGAGAGGATGAGGTTGCTGCTGACCAGAAGCAGATCGTCACCGAGTGGGCCGCCGAGTTCAAGCTTGAGGGTCTCTGGGGCGACGACGGCAACGCTGACAACGACGATGCTATGGAGCAGTAAGAGAGGGGGAAGTTTGGACTTGAGAGTAAAAAGACGTGACGGACGGTACATGAATTCTTGACTGGAAAGTTTGGCGTTTCAAGGATTGGCTGGCAGAACGGACCTAGACCGTGCATATACCTTTATAAAAACAATCTGTCTTCCCAAACTCCTGCGTAGTTCACCCTGTGCTTTGTAGATTGTGCATCATGCCATGTACCTGTACCTCTAACTACCTTACACAAAATAATCCCTCTTAAGCCTCAAGCAACTCCATCTTGACACCCCGCTTGCCAGTCATCTCGTCCTTTTCGTCATGGACTCTAACCTTGACCTTCTGGAATAATTCCACATGCACCTCCCGGCTTCCCTTGGTAGTGAGCGTAAACGTCTCCGGGTCAAAGTCGGCCTCTGGCTCGGGCTCGGCGAGATCCCTGAGTCGGATCAAACCTTCGATACCGAAGCGCGGGACGAGGACGACGAAGCCGTTGCTGAAAATTTTCATGACAAACGCTTCCTCCTCAGCGACCTTGCCCTTGAGGGCCTGGCCGACGTAGTAGGAAATACTGGCGCGACCAGCCATCTGGGCGTTGCGGTGTCGCACGTTGATGTTCTTGCACACGGCCTCGAGACGTCCTCGGCTGCGGACATTGGGGTGAACGGCCTCGTAGTCGATGGCAGCGGCAAGCTGTCGGTGAGCGAGGAGATCGGCGTATCGGCGGATAGGAGATGTGAAGTGAGTGTAGATCTCGGAGGCAAGACCATAGTGACGGAACTCGGGGTAGGCTTGAGTGCCTGAGCAGAAATACTCTGCACTCATCATACAGCGTGTCGCCATGATACGCACCAAAGTGTTGAAGAAGGGTTCCTTGGCATCGACACACTGATCCAACGAGTCGGCGAGGGCCTTGCTGGAATCGGTGCGCAGCTCCAACCCGCGCTTGGTGCGCAGTTGGTTCGCCAGCTCGTCAAAGTTGGTCTTGGGAGGAGCGGCGTGACGACGGAGGATGGCAGTCTGGGGGAACGCTTCATAAATCTTTGCTGCAACGCTGACGTTGGCGAACAACATGAACTCTTCGACCAGCGAGTTGGTGTCGAGGAGCTGCTTCGTCTTGACATCGATGGGATCAGACGTCTCGGACTCAGTCTGGACCTTGACCTCGGGCGAGGAGAGGCTCAGAGCACCAGCGTCCATTCGCTTCTGCTTGAGCTTCTTTGACAGCATGAGGAGCATCCGCATTCCCTTGGTGAGGTCGTCTTGCTGAGACTCATCATCGATTCTAAGTTGAGCCTGTTCGTAGCTGAAAGCCTCACGGGACTTGATAACAGACTTTGTGAAGCGAGCGCTGACGATGTCGGCATTGTCGTTCAGCTCCCAGAGCACCGAAAAGGCATATCGTTCCACATATGGCTTGAGAGAGCAAAGGTCTGTTCCAAGCAGGGGCGGAAGCATGTCAATACGCTTGTCCACTAGATAAACAGTCGTGCCGCGGATGCTGGCCTCAGTGTCCATGGCGTTGGCAGGCTTGACAAAGTGCGAGACATCGGCGATGTGGACGCCAACCTCAAAGTTGCCGTTCGGAAGCTTCCTAGCGTGGAGAGCATCATCGATATCCTGACAGCCGGGAGGATCAATACTGCAGATGAGAAGTCCTCTGAGATCCTCCCTTTGTCTCCAGCCGGGATCCTCCACGCTGGCTGGCACCTTCCAGTCATGGCCTTCCTTAGGGAGACAGTCAAGGACAGTCTTGGGGAACGGTCGGTACTGGACATCCCATTCGAGCAGCAGAGCCTCAGTCTCGGCCGCCTTGGTCTCCAACTCTCCCAAAGAGCGTACAAAGTGTCCAATGGGGTGTCTAGAGTCGCGCTCCCAAGCATCAATGGTTACCAAAAGTCGCTTGCCGAGTAGATCTGAAACTTGTCGAGTACGAAGTCGAATCTTGGGAATCTTCTTGTCCATGGGGATGAGGAAGACGCTGTCCTGCTTGCGGCCCTGGCTAGACGCTTTGCTCGCAGACGAAGGGTCGATATGGCCAACATACTGGCGCCAGTTACGCTTGATTACGCCAACAACCTTGGCAGTTGGTTGCGGACGGCCTTCTGAGAAGCCCTTCTGGGTCTTCTTCACCTGCTCCTGCAGAGCCTTGCGCTCCTTTTCAGACACAAGGTCTTGGCTTTCCTCCACGTCTGCGTTCTCGTTCTTCGTGATGGCTTCCTCCTCGATGATCTTTGTCGAAGGCTCCTTCCACTGGTCTTGGGGAAGAACCTCGACAACGACCACGTCGCCGTCGACAGCACGGTTGATGTTCTCGCGACCCAGAATCAGCAGAGGCTTAGGGAATGCCGGAACCTTGATAGAGCCCTCCAGATAGTTGTATGGTGAGACGTTGAAGATGCCCTGATGCATCAAGCCGGCCTTGACACCAGTCATCATCCTTGAGAGTGTAAAG